AAAGCTATCCAGACCAGGATTTCTAAAACATTTTGGCTCTGCGTCTATGTTTTATTATAGAAAATATTACATGATGTTTTGAGTATTTTTGAATTGGTAACAATATACTTGTGAAACGTATCATATTATTGTTACTTTTTAATACAAGAAAACCGAACGTAGTAACACAAAAATAATGCATAATACTGCTACGAATAATAATTAATGGCACTGCAGTGCAAAAAAAAGTAACATACAAAAAAGCGCAAAAATTCTGCACGTAATATGTCTCTGGACTTCGGCGCTTTCTGTGTAACAGGAGCGCTACAGAGTTTGAGGAGCTATCATCTACAGAATATTTAAGTCAAATGTTATTATAAAATATATTTAAAATTTTAACTTAAGTTGGCAATGTCGATTTCCGGTTAAGAATATAAATACTTATCGGTTTCTGACCTGATTTAGTTGAAAAAAGCATCTACGGTAGGTAAATTCAGAAATTTCATTTCCATTTAAGTATTAAAACTGTAGACGTGAGTAAAATTTAAAATTTGGCTTCATTTTTCACTATAAGTAATTTTATATTAATGTATGTACCTCGCGTTCAACTTAATTCCGTAATTTCGATGTACTGCAATGTTTTCGTAGTAACTCAACAAGGTGAGAGCTACAAATTACACAATAAGAACAACCTGAGAAAGAAAATTAGGAAGGAGCTAACAGGAAATCTTTCCTGGTATTGAATTATATGCTCTAAGAGATAATCAAAAATAGGTAGGGTAATCAAAAATAAATCGTTCCTTGCCCTTGCCGATTCTTCTGAAGAAGCGAATAAAAGCCCAACTTCGGAGGAATGAGCAACGGAACACAATCCGTTAACTCATATCCTCCAAGTGAAATGACCCGCGAAGTCTGGTCCGATTGAAGCGTGTAATTCGCACTGGCTCAATTTGTGAAAAATAGTGAGTTACACGCTTTTCGATTTCGACACTCACTACTGGCCGTCAAGGAATGCAGTGAATAAGCTTAGTTACATGCTGTTTACTCTAACTTTTATACATATGTTAACATTAAAAAGCAAATGAAACCGTGGTAAAAAAAATTAATCTGGTTTACATATTGCAAGTTGTAAAGAAATTTCCATACATTACAAAGCAAATAAATGAATACTATAGCATCTGCTATGAGCGTGAAGTAGCTACATATTATAGCAAATCAAGATCGATGTGCATGATTGATTTTGTTTTAACTGTTAGAGAGCAAAAATGTTTAAGAATATCTTCCAATATCTATAGCTGTAATATTAATATCTACATTTCTTTAAAAATTTAATTATTTTAAACATTGACAATGATAATATTATTGTTGTTACCATCATTCTTTGTGCAGTAGCATAATTCAAGCATAATTCATTAGTGTAAAAAAGATATGAATCCATTAATTAATGTTTCTTACAACTATCTTCAACCAAAAAATTTGCTTTGAAAACTGTGTTTTTGCATGAGATTCAAGTTGAAAAACAAATTCCAATTTGTTTATCCAAGTTTCGAATTCGTTTGTGGACATTTGTTTATCAATTTATATGCGAAATTATTCAACTTTCACATCAAAATTCATACCCAAAAAAATCTATCTTTGCTTTAAGGAGTGGTTTTTAACCGTTTTCCCCCATTCACCTCTTTCACTACTGCTAGACAATCAATCCTCCTCTTCCATTTCGAAACTCGAAAAATGTGCATACATTTACAGGAAAAAGTATAGCAAATATTGGCAAATACCAAAACTTGAATAAAAGTAGTTTTTTTATAATCATAAAATAAAGTACAACAAGTATATAACAAGTAAATAGAAAGTTGACCGAAATTCTCCCTTCCCCCCCCCAAAGAAAAACTAAGAAATTATCCCCCTGGTTGAGAGCGTCTGGTCTGGAGATTATGGCTGTTAAACGAATTCTATACCTAGGGTTAAATAGGATGGGCTCGCTGTGTGAGGTTATCATCAACTTTCTCACATATAAAGTAAATAGGGCAAGACCCTGCTTTCCCTTAGGAAGTTTTTTGAGTAGCCGTTACCCCTTAAGTATGAAGATAACATGAACTGTTCTTGATAGTTGTATAAGAATTTCTTAGTAAGTAACATAATTTAATCACCCTGAAGATCAGGTGATCCTTAAACGTTTTTCACGGCACAGTTTGAATACCGATGAATTTAAATAGTGATTTAATTTTTGTGTCTAGAAACATTAGCAAACACTTTTATATCGACAAGTAATTAAAATCGAGAATGCACACGCTTTTCAAACTCAATTTTTCCGCTCTTTTCACATGAGATTTTGAAAATCGAGATCTGAATGCTTCGTATGGGTCTAATTTTCCATACGAAATTCGTAGATCTCACGTATAAAATAATTTCATTCAAGTATTTTCAAGCCAATATGATTTCGTTACCATGTGGAATCATTTACCTGCCATAAAATCGCATAACAAATTTAGTAAGGAAAGTCACCTTGTTTTAATTTTTATCGAATAACATGCCAGTAATGAGTTTTTCTTTTTCTTAAATGTTGCCTTGACCCTGTTTTAATGAAATCGTTAACACTTGGGAACCACATGGAAAATAACTTTTTCGGAAATGGTAAGCAGCTTGCCTTGAAGTTGTCATATATGGGACATACTGAAGATAAAATAAGACAGATGTAATAGGAAACAAAACTAGTATTTTGCAGAATCATGAATTTTGGGTGTGCCGGGTCCTTTCACCAATTCTCATAGTTTTCTTTCACACTTTTGTTGTTTTTACATTCGTAGGATAGATAAGAAATTGAAATACGACTTTCAGGCGCATATTTCCAACAGAGGCATGCGGAAACTCATTTACCATGGAATTAACAGGAAACTACAAGGTCTTCTATACTTGTTTATTGAAATTAATTATCATACCTGAATAATTAAGAGCAAAAATATACATTTCATTTATTCTAAATGGTAAAATGAAGTATATTTTAAACTATTGCTGAAAGGTATGGCTGTATGCATTAGAAGATGGATTTTATTCAAACACATCATAAATTAGTTGTAACAATGAAATAATTTCGTCTGATTTAATAATTTCGTCGATAAGACAGAAAAATCAAATATGTAAAGAACTGTCCTTGAAGAAAAATTCATACTTCTCGCTTAGATTATGGTTGAATTTTAAAATAAACTTTCCAGCTTTGGTAATATTACTGGTTCTTGTTTACTGTCACTTGATGCATCCAGGCAGATTCTTGGTTGCTGCAGCCCTGTCATGTATTCATACAAGTCTTCATTTGCGTTGTATGTTTGTATTTTGTGGAAATTTTAAAGGTTGCAGCAACTTTTGAATGAACATTTGATTTGGTATTATTTTATTGCCATTTCACCGTCAATTGTAATAAGTAATTTGATTGCTTTCATTCACAAAATATCGGGCTCACCAGCGGCCGAGCGGTAAAGTCGCTGAACACTGGTAGTTCGGTCCGAGGTTCGAATCCCGCGAAAGGGCTGGCTGCATGGGCGTTTTCGTGGTTTTCCCCATGTGTAACGTGTATACGAGCCAGTTTCCCTTAGAAAGTCCTCCACGAAGGCATCCCTCCCCTTAGGCAGATAGCCCTCGAGGCTTTGCCATAATCACACACACATTCACTAAATATTAGTTTTTCTTCCAAACCTAAAAAAAGAAAACCACTTTCTTCAGTTGAAAAAGAGAAAATCCAAAAAACTTGGAAGAATTGAGTTGAATATAAAGGATTCATTACTGCATTTTTACGTTATTAAGGAATTAAGTATTATTATTTTATATACCCTTAATTAATGAATTTACTGAAGTTCACACAAATGAAGAAAAAGGTATAGGGTGAAGATATAGGATTTTATTCCGAGAGTCATAAACTTTAACAGAATAATTGAGATTGTCAACAAGGTTGGATATCTTTTGTGATCAGCAACAAAGTTAATTGATTAAAAATATCTGAATTGCTAGTTGTACTTTTTACACTCGGAGCAATTATAAAAAGGTTAACAATTTAAAGTAATTTGCCAATTTCTTTAATACCAATTTTGTGTTCTGCTTTTAGAGTATTCTTCATGTATGACGGCACCGTTTTGTTTTACTAAAATTTCAAGAAATCAGTGCTTCTATCCAATATATGACGGTTTCAAAATAGAATTTATATTTTTAGCCTAAAGGGCACTTTGAATAATTCCTTTAATATTTAGTCTATATGGTAGAAATTTCTTGGATATTTAAAAATTTATGCACTTTATCGACTGGCGATACTGATTTTTGCCGTTTATGTGATTCTAGCGCACAATCGGCGAACATTAAGTTTCGCTTGAGCTGATGTACATTGCTTCGTAATTATTTATCAAGCAAGCATATTCCATTACACTTTATGTGATCATCTGACATCAGTATTATTAACACCAAATATATTATTCACATTTATATTTTAATATCAGTTCCTAATATCGAATATTTAATAAAACTTCTGTATTCTTTGTAAAAAGAACATTGCAAGAAATTTATAACTTTTAAATTATGTCTTGATTGGAAAAAATGCTAAATTTTTACCGTCAGATTGATTTTTGATGATATTTCTTAACGTACTGGCTCAAAGAACCAAAATAGTGAAATACTATAGAACCTTTCTTAAGTTTTAAATAACTCATTACAAGTTTTAAATCAAGAATCTTTTTGACTTCTCAGAATTCACGAAAAGTATAATGAGTTTTATGTGGTTAAAATTATAAACTGACTTTCTCATTCAAGCAAATGCTTTTTCGTGATTGAATTATTTATTCTTAATACCATGAAACAAATTCATTAAATTTCATGGAAAAAATGAAATTATTAATTCTTTTATATTAATTATTATTATTAAGGCTTTTTATTTGTCTCACATAGTTATTTGAATTTGAAAATAATTGATTTTTCTGTTACATTGTATTATACAATTTAAAAGCAAATAAATTAACAAGAATTTTTAATTGTTTTTACAGCTTTGCTCGTAGGTATTTCGCTCTCAGTCGTAAGCCTCTTCGGCTTGGAAAAGTGTACAAGAAAGCAATATTTAGAGAATTTACTGATGGTACTTATACGGTGATGAAGGCAAGAGAGCCATGGCAAGGCATATTGGGACCAACCATAAGAGGAGAAGTAGGAGACATGGCCATCGTCCATTTCTGGAACAATGCTTCTATGTTGCTATCTATGCACCCTCATGGAGCTCGATATATAAAAGTTCACGAAGGTAAGATCATCAACTTAAGGTATTTTCTAAGCGTGATTTGACGGGATGAAATGAGATATTTATCTGGTCAGTTTTAGTTCTCCAAAAACCTTCGATGATTTAAAATTAACGTAGGTTGCTTGCAACTATTCACGTGTTTTATGACTTTTCCGTGTTCCATGCGTATTAAATAACGTCATAGTTTCTGTACTTCTACAGCACTAATTACAGTGTCAATTATGTCTAAAATTACAACTGTTATAATGTATTGCTTAAAGAAAAATAAATCAATAACTGCTCTTTGTTTGCAGAGGAACGGCCAGCCTAAGTCCAAGCAAACAGCGGTACGTGGAAAATCAACCATTTTCTCCCTTAACACATTTGATTTCAAAACTCCGAAAAATGGAAAACATGAGACAAACAGGGTTACTAAACCTCAGATCTTACAAACATTTCCATGTTTCGACGCAGTTTACTGACAAGTTAAGGTTAACAATACAACGTTTACATTCATTGCATATACTATAAATGTAAAACATACAGAATGACAGTGCTGTGTGATGACGTTGAAAATGTTTCGTGTTATAAATCTCGAATTAAATTTATTTATCAATACGCGTTCAATCGAATGAGTTACTATACTTTTTAGAAAAGCATCTTCTGACATTAAAAATATAGTTTACAAACATGAAACAAAGCTGTTTAACAATTTCCAGGTAGTGAACATTTAAAACCCGCACATGATCAAAAGCACTATCCTGTATGGTACGAGGCTATTCTATTCAGCAAAATAAGAAATATTTCCCAGTCTTCGTCTGAATGCTTTAGCTCCATCATTATCTATGCAAATGATATCTTGTTGATTAACTTAATTTAACTCGTTTTTACTTTGCGTAGTTTTCTTAATCTATACTCCTCAATTTTTAGCCAAAAAGAGCATTAGCCCAGAAGGGTTATTAGTCTCAAAACGGCATTTTGCGTCGAAACACTGAAAGAGCTGAATCACCTTTCAAACTGTTGCAACCAAATATTATCGCCCTGTACCATATTTAAAGAAATTAAATAGTGAAGAATGTGTATAAATGTATGTATGTTTCTCGCAATGTGAAAAAACGGCGGTACCTAGAGCCTTTCAATTTTGAATAACGCAATCCTTCGCCTGAACATGGGCATCTGGAAGCCCGAATTTTGAATTCTGAATTCGTTTTATTATCTATTTCATATTTTGTATAGCTTTTAAGAATTTTTGATTAACAAACTCAACGATTTCAAAGCAAGCAATGACAACACTGTACGGGGGAAAAAACATTATCTCAAGCGCAAGGCTGTCTATCGGAAATTCTGAATGTATGCTGTTTTTAAATATTTTGTGATATTGCTGTTGAATTGAATTTGTTGTGGTTTGTGTTCTTCGAATCTTACGTTCGAAGAACATAATATTTAATAAACAAAGGTAGCACACAAAATGTTAAAAAAGTCTCTTTAGACGCAATATAAAATCTGAAAGCTTTCAGATTTTATATTTTTCAGTTCTTTTTTATTATTATTTTTAATTAATAAATATTTAACTAATATAAACGAATCAGTTTCTTAATGTGTAATCTGTTAATTTTATGTGTGGAAATCTAACCTATAAGAAAGCTTTCCAATGTTCCTTCCAAAATGAGCAGCATATTCATATTTCAGTTTTATTTGTCTATTAAATTCACAAAAAAGCAGCATATGTAAGTAAACAGCAAGATGACCAATAGACACTCACTGCTGGCTTGCGATCTGCTGCTTTTTACGAAGATGAACTTAGAATTACTCTCCTTCTCTAAAACTTCCCAATGTTCTTTTAGATTCCTAATAAAGTCCAAAGAAACATGCCAATCTCCTGCATACTTTTGATTCATTAAAGAGTAGCAAGTAAATAGTAGACTGCTAGACAATTAAGGTCTGCGATCTGTCACTTATCGTTAAATAAATAAATGGATTTTGCTATTAATAGAGGTAAATCCCTTATATTTTAAAAGCAATATTTTGTAGTAAATTATGGTAAGGAAACTTGCAAAGATTAACAATAAAAAAAAAAAAAAAAAGAAAACAGAAATCACTAAAATGACCTCAATTGAAGGACACCTTTTGCAGTTGAAAGACGTAACAAGAAAGTTTTAACGTTAAGCTGTGAGATTTTCGGAAATTATCAATGTTACATCTTCAGCTGTCATCGGCCTAAGCATTATTAAATCTCCTCAAAAAGAGTTGCTTGTGTTTGCTGTACCATTATTACACATAACGAGTAACGGATAAATGACTTAATGGTACACCTTTCAAATCGAGGTACAGCTCCGTCCATGTCCCGAATAACCACTTAACGACTTACGCACCCATGCCAGATGGCAAAACATGTAATTGTAACAAGACATTTGGGATTTACCGTCAAACTGCGTGCTTATGCAATAACATTGCGAATAAACACTGATTTATACGCTTGGTAGGCGTTTCTACAGCCTTGAGTGTACTCAATTACAGTCTGCTCCCTTCATTACCCAAATGCTTCAGCGCTTTACATTGTGCGGTGGAAGAGAAATTCGTGATACGGGCCGAACAGGTAGACTATTAAGGGATTGTGCGCGGAGGTCAGACTATTAAGATCTCCCCCCCCCAATCATAAAACCTCCTTATGTGAAGTAACGGATATTTAATTTGAATTAAAGCCAAGCCAGATAGAAAATCTTTCTTGACGCACTTTCAGCGACTGGGAACTAATAAATAAATTATTTTTCTTAAACAAAAGTAAATTCTGGAAATAAAACTAGCTACTACCTAGGAAAGCAAATGATTTCATTTTAACTAAGATTTTTTTTTCTTTTTATTAATGCCCTAGAAAGAAATGTTATAGTTGCACAATGCATTGCTCAATTAGGATCATTTGATTTCGATACCATTAAGAGCTCTATATAATTTACAATCCAGTTTCTGAGATATTTTAAATAGTTCTTTCCAGATTCAAATTCTGTTCGTCCAGATATATTGCCTAAATGCGCTATAATCAACCCGATCGAAGCTACTTAAAAATTAATTCTATGTAATACATAACACAGATCCTTTGAATGATTCATTTAATTCTTTTGCTATAAAATGCATCATTATCTAATGATATATAATTAGATAAAAAAATCTGATGTATCCAGCACATGACCACCCAATTTTATGTTTAAATAGCCAAGAGCTATAAATATCGTTCATCCTTTGTAAGCAAAATTTAAATTGTTGTTTCAATAAATAAAAGAGTCTGTAATAAGAAATTTACATTATATTTTATTTGATGTAAATAGGCATGTGTGAAATCTAGTTTTTCTAAATTTATACCAACATAATCAAATATTTTCCCTATATTTTTCATTAAAAAGTATAATTTATTCGGCAGTTGAATGACATAATTTAACTGCTATTTTATTAAAGAAAATTAAATGCTTGTTTAAAATAAATACTTTGAAACGAAAACAATAATCTAATTTTCTTATATTTATTTCTATTGAATCATTAAATTTAAATTCATTTCGATTTTCACGACTACACTCGCGATATTTAGGCATCAGTAAACGATGTTTGTTCTACAGTAACAATATGTTATATATTATATATGCAACAGTATGTTCTACTGATTGCTCAACAATGGTTATAGGCCTGAAGTAAATTACAGCTTACTGTTGTCCATTAAAAACTGTTATTGGTTTCAAGTATTACTTCCGACTGTCCAATTTTAACCCATACCTAATCAATCCTTATATGTATAAATGCAGAAAAAAGTCCTTATATAAATGCAGAAAACTTAAATTTTTGGAAATTATCGCGGACGAAAAAATCGCCATGCACATACGCACACACACAGACACAACATAATTGTAAAAATAATAAAAGCGTGTTCGAGCCACCCTAATTTAGTTTTATTCACAAAAAACTCACATTCGACATTTTGGACTGAAAGCATTTCCTTCCGTACGTACACATGTTTGAACTGGCATGTTTACAGATTTTCATAACATAAAATGAATGCTGTCTGTTTTCCCATCTAGGACAGCAACGGGCTTGGCAATTGCGAAAAATTATAGTTGTTCATTTCTCTAACCAGCGGCTATGCAAAGTTGAATCCTAAGAAGTGGGTTAACTGTCCACTCGGCTGTGCAAGGGGGCGAACAAAATTGGGATACAGCTGGCGAAGGTCAATCTGTCAGTATGGCCAAAGACAGGCGCACCTCCTGGGCGCACCCGTGATCATACCTTACGCTGCTGTTTATCTATACGTACATTCTGAGTTCATTTACTATACATTCTGAGATAGAGCTGTGCAACAACTAAAAACAATTATGAAAATTTTATTGTAAAACTTATTTTTGAAAAATTTACGTCACCAACGAAGGTATTACCAGTCTCTTTGTAAACAATCATTTAGCGTTTCAGGCTCCTACCTTGTAAGATTCCTACGTGTTTCAACTTTAAGTTGAGGAACCTTAAGAATTGATAAGTGAATAATCGCTTGAGTTCTGAGACAGAAAATAAAACTTGGGAAGGGTTGAATACCTTTTATTATTCCAAATTAATTTCACAGAACCCCTTCTTGGAGTTTTACAATAAAGCCTCCACTCTGGCTAGAACTCAGGAAACTACGAAATCAAATTTAACTAATCTTAACTGAAAATATATAGCTGAAGCTACCAAGATTCCAACAGAGTTGGCCTCTTAACGCCAATTCACGGCGAAGCTATCAAAGGCCTAAAGTACGGCGGAGCGTAATAATAGCTTAAGAGAGAGAGTAGCTTAGAAAGGCGAACGCGTGCTAGTCATAAGCACTGGCTCTCTAACGAAGTCAGCAGAACTTCACAGTTAAATACTTCTCATTTCCATTCAAACGCGATTCTAAAGATACGTTCTGGTCGGAAGTTGTAAGCTTGAAATTAAGAAGAGACAGGAAAGTAACTTTAACTCGAAATTTAACTGTTAGATAATTAACATTATCCTTATAACCTTAAGACTAA